TTATGGGATGTATCATCTACTATTAAAATTTGTAAGAATTAAAAATACAGAAGGGTTTTTGAGTTTAAAGTTGTCATATATATTGTAATTATATATTGTACTTGTGACCTCTGTTGTACCTGAGGACAAACAAAGATAAAGGGAGTTTATCCACTTCTAGCCTGGGCCATGCACATTTTCCCTCCTTCATTACTGCTTGGCCTGCTCCAAGTGCTGGAGGAGGTTGGCCAGCAGCGTCCATGACTGTGCCACACAAACTGGAGGGTTTTTTTTAGGCATTTGCACTATAAGTTTGTATTAACTTGATAACTTGAGCTATTTTATCTATAAACAAATAGCTAGAACAGAACACAAATGACCTAATGAAGAAGATATTGTTGAAACCGGGTTTTTAATTTTTTTTTTTAAAGAAAACACAATTTCTATATAGCACTGTATTAGGGTTGATGCCATATGTGTGGTAGTAAAAGCACACCCTCAGTGCAACTGAAGGTAGCTCTCAATCGGTGTTTTACCCGTTTTTAATCAAGTTATAAATTATATTAAAAAAATAGAGTAATAGAAAACTGGAGGCCAATATGAATGTTTCCATGGTTCACTACAAACATTTATTCTAAACAAATAATGAATTTCTCAGTATCAGAGAACTTGAAAGTCAAGCTGTTAATTGGACTTAACTTTTCTTGCTCAAAACTAACAAATATGGAAAGAAAATAATGGCTGTTATTAGCAGAAAAGGTAATTCCCCTCCTTTTAAAATAACACTAGCCGTTAACTTTCACCAGATGTCCTGTTCTATGTTAGTTAGTGGCTCGTTGTTCCTTACATCAGTCAATGAAATGGTTAGAGGAGACTCATGGACAAAATAGTGTAATCTGCTTGTCAAGGGAAATGTCAGTCCATGGTTTGGGCTGGTAGAGGCAAATGTGTTTACATGGAGAATTTCATCCACGGTGGTGAGCATTTCGACTTTCATACGTACCAAGAACAGCTCTTGAACTCAAAGGCTTGATTAAGGTTGGCATGTCTGAGGTGTTATGTTGACTACCTTTTTGTTGAAAAGTGCTACAATTTACAACACCACCTGCATAAAAGCTTGCTATCAATGGTGCAGCTATTTCAAGGCTGCTCTGATGTTGGTTTAACAATCAGGAAAACTGTAACTGTTTATCTTTTTCTGTGCCCTTTGACAATAAAGTTTACCCTTATCTATCTGTCTGTCTACTGGCTTGCACACAGCTGAAATCAGGATAGCTGGAGAATCAATAGCTTATTTCCATTTTGATTAGATTAAGGCAGGAACAGAAAAAGTTATGGAAACTTAGCTTGTAGGACTCTGTTCAGATCAGCTAAGGGATGTCTGGCTAAATTACAGGTACAAATAGTGTGTCAATCTTTCTCTTTAGGTTTCCCTAAAGAGTCCATCCTGTGTGGATGTCTAGCTCTACTCCCCAAACAGGGATTTGCATTTGAATGGCAGCTCTTTTGTGAGACTGCTGAACAGACAACATGGGTGAGTGTTCAACTGAGCACCGAACAGTGTTGCCAGCTACCATATCGATTCTGGCCATTAACAACCTGGAAGGCCTCAACAGGCAGTTCCTGAGGGCTAAATAATGTTTCTCTGTCTGCTAGGGAGCATCATTTTGCTGGGAATGGCTATTGTTAGTGGTAGTAGAGAACCAGATTAGACTATGGATCAGTTCCAGATTCACTTAAGCTCTAAAATGTTGCCCTATATGCATGATAAAGCCAAAGTGTTGCACTGCTCCCCTTATAGATTTAATGCTGCACAGAAGCACATGTTGCTATCTAAGCTTACTCAGTTGAATACATTGAACAAATTTAAAGCAGCACAGAAAATGTCAAACAGTGGGAGTGTGAAGAAGCTTTTGCTTTTTGTTGAAGTAATATTAAAAAAAAAGCCCGTGTAAACAACTTTACAGCATTGAATTGTAGATCACTATTAAGTTTGTGACACGCAAATTGTGTTAATATTTCAGTAAGATGGACACAGGAAGAGCACTGGACACATGCGACACTCTTGAAATTGGACAACCCAACCAATACCGGAGGTAACTCGGCTATTGGTGAGGACAGTTCTTCATTCACTTGGTGAGCACTGAGGGCTGGTAAGGAGTTTCCATGTTACTGATTCCAAAGCAGCTCCACAGCATTTGTGTTCTCAGTCCAGGTCCTACTCCTTCTGAAGCTCTGCTCTGTGATAATCTTCCTTAGTCTGTTTCCTACAGGTTGAAAGGAACAGAGGCTTTTTTCTTTGTGGATAACAGTTTTTTTCTGTTTGTTTGGTAAATACTGTTTCTACACTGAGGAAACAGCCTGTTTGGAGGGCTAGGGAGAATCCTTCCCAGTCTAGAAGATCTAGTACTATAATGAAGGAATAATTCCCAATCTTCCCTAGTCATAGGGTTCTTTGAACTTTTTCCCCAGGATTATAGAGTAATCTCAAACTTCCAATGCTGAAGTGGGCAAAGGATAACGATATCCTTTCCCTTTTCTCTCAGTTTCTGTTGCAATCGTCATTTGAATGTCTAGATCTTTGCCTTCCTCCAAAAAAGCCTTACTGTGAAAGGCAAGCAGCTGAATCAAATCCTCACATTTTTCCCATATTTTTTTTGATTGTAGTTTGTTTGGAGTTTTGGTCTTGGCATTTGGTTGTCTCTAGACTATTCCCCATTTTCTTATATCTACCTGCTGAGTGAAATGTTGGCTGCTACTTTCAGTTCTCTCATTAGCCTGAATGTTGTTTCTTCTACATGGAGGTGGGAACATGTCTAGTTGGGAAGGGAGTTCTTGGTCAGGAATACATAGTAACCAGGAGAAGGCTGCAGACCTCTTCACCTTCCCTGCTTTTTTCTCTTGGTAACTTCAGAATACTTTCTGTCCATTAAACCACTCTCCACAGAGTAAGAAGAGTTTAACGTACAGAATTGACTATAGCTAATTCAGTAACTTTATACATCATGCAAACCTGTATTTTATGCAACAATTGCAGGTGCTACTACTATTGTATTTGAACACTTTGAGAACCAAACCATTGAAAGACTGAATGTATCTGTAACACTGAGTTGCTAAAGGCATCAATTGTGTTTTTTTTTTTTAATGAAAACATCAGAGCTTCTATATAAAGCAAGTACCTGTTTTCTTATTTTAAAAGTATTTTTATAATCCTTAATTAAAAATGAATGAATTAAAAATGGTTGCCTGGCAGTCAACTTGGTTGCATCCAGAAATCTCAGGGAACAATTTTTGGTAAACCTTCTCATTTTTTTTATTTAGTTACATTTTAGTTATCAAAACATGTTGAATTTATGTATGTGTGTGTGAATGTAACACTTAAGAAAGCAAGCCTGACAGTGGTGGAGACCAGAGTCCTTTCATGTGCTTGCAGAACAGAAACGTCATAGTTAGTGCTAGGTAGAGCCTTTAGAAAGCAAAGCTTCTGCATCTCAAACCTAACCTAAGGGGAAGCAGAGCTTGATCTTCAGATCCATCCAGGTTTCCCTGAGTCTAGTGTAATACCAAGCGTCAATCATACTGCACTGTGAGGTCGTTTTTCACAGAATGATTCATGGAGGCTGCCAGCCTGCTAGCAATGAAAAAATAAAGTAAATACATCTGGTTCCGTGTGGCAGATGGTGTGTTCAAATCAACAGTTCTGAGGTGAAAGGTGCTCTATTGTATTATCAAATGCTATGACTAGGTTATTCCTAATACGTGTTTTACAGTTGAAGGATTTTGGAAAATGACAAGCGAGTAGGAAGTTTTTGGGTTCTTCTAAGTAAACCTTCCTTTTAATTACATAGAAATATAATTGGCCGCTTGGTGCAGCGGTCCTCTCGGTGCTGCGGGCTGGCCCCTACAGAGCAAAGGCAGCCCCAGGGGGCGGCGGGGACCGGTCCCCC